ATCAACAAAATGTGTCCATCATACGGGGGCTCACAGGCATGAAGACTAAATTAAACTATAATAAATTTAGGGATTGAGCGTTATCAAGGTTCATATTTTTTTAATGTGATTAGGATGCACACAATAGTCTTATTTATCTCCCTGAGAAGCTTAGATTATCAGCGCAATCCATCTGGGTCTCCGTACATTTCCACGAGCAAAAGAGAATGTATAAAAGTACATTGTGCTTTTATGATCCATCTCCTACAGAGAAATACGAATATACGAGGGGGAAAAAAGTAATAAAAAAATCACTTTAAAGGTTTTAAAGTTATTATCTTTGCACAGTGCTTTGTAGAAGCTCTCCATTCAGTTAAGTGAATGTTCGAAAGGAATAATGTATTCTAAATAGTCTGGTCTTCCATTTTCTGGCTACTGCCTTTCAACCTCTCACAAATATATCACCCTTCAAAGGAACAAAAACAACACAAAAATGAACACACAAACTACAAGTTCATGTATGGAGGGACATTGCCCATTAGGTTAGAAATTAGGTTATATACACTGCTCAAAAAAATAAAGGGAACACAAAAATAACACATCCTAGATCTGAATGAATTAAATATTCTTCTGAAATACTTTGTTCTTTACATAGTTGAATGTGCTGACAACAAAATCACACAAAAATTAAAAAATGGAAATCAAATTTTTCAACCCATGGAGGTCTGGATTTGGAGTCAAAATTAAAGTGGAAAAACACACTACAGGCTGATCCAACTTTAATGTAATGTCCTTAAAACAAGTCAAAATGAGTCTCAGTAGTGTGTGTGGCCTTCACGTGCCTGTATGACCTCCCTACAACGCCTATGCATGCTCCTGATGAGGTGGCGGATGGCCTCCTGAGGGATCTCCTCCCAGACCTGGACTAAAGCATCTGCCAACTCCTGGACAGTCTGTGGTGCAAATCGTGACGTTGGTGGATGGAACGAGACATGATGTCCCAGATGTGCTCAATTGGATTCAGGTCTGGGGAACGGGCGGGCCAGTCCATAGCATCAATGCCTTCGTCTTGCAGGAACTGCTGACACACTCCAGCCACATGAGGTCTAGCATGGTCTTGCATTAGGAGGAACCCAGGGAAAACCGCACCAGCATATGGTCTCACAAGGGGTCTGAGAATCTCATCTCGGTACCCAATGGCAGTCAGGATACCTCTGGCGAGCACATGGAGGGCTGTGTGGCCCAAACCAAAGAAATGCCACCCCACACCATTACTGACCCACTGCCAAACCGGTCATGCTGGAGGATGTTGCAGGCAGCAGAATGTTCTCCACAGCGTCTCCAGACTCTGTCAAGTCTGTCACATGTGCTCAGCGTGAACCTGCTTTCATCTGTGAAGAGCACAGGGCGCCAGTGGCGAATTTGCCAATCTTGGTGTTCTCTGGCAAATGCCAAACGTCCTGCACGGTGTTGAGCTGTAAGCACAACCCCCACCCTCATAACACCCTCATGGAGTCTCTTTCTGACTGTTTGAGCAGACACATGCACATTTGTGGCCTGCTGGAGCTCATTTTGCAGGGCTTTGCAGTGCTCCTCCTGTTTCTCCTTACACAAAGGCAGAGGTAGCGGTCCTGCTGCTGGATTGTTGCCCTCCTACGGCCTCCTCCACGTCTCCTGATGTACTGGCCTGTCTCCTGGTAGCGCCTCCATGCTCTGGACACTATGCCTACAGACACAGCAAACCTTCTTGCCACAGCTCGCATTGATGTGCCATCCTGGATGAGCTGCACAACCTGAGCCACTTGTGTGGGTTGTAGACTCCGTCTCATGCTACCACTAGAGTGAAAGCACCGCTAGCATTCAAAAGTGACCAAAACATCAGCCAGGAAGCATAGGAACTGAGAAGTGGTCTGTGGTCACCACCTGCAGAACCACTCCTTTATTGGGGGTGTCTTGCTAATTGCCTATAATTTCCACCTGTTGTCTATCCTATTTGCACAACAGCATGTGAAATTGATTGTCACTCAGTGTTGCGTCCTAAGTGGACAGTTTGATTTCACAGAAGTGTGATTGACTTGGAGTTACATTGTGTTGTTTTAGTGTTCCCTTTATTTTTTTGAGCAGTGTATGTATAGCAGTCATTCTATAAAACATGAAATGAAGTGGGCACATGAGATAGGAACTATCTTCCATGGTCTCTTGTCTGTCACTCAATACAAGTCATGAAAGGTGAGGTTGTAGGCTTTGATCTGGGTGTTGTCGTAGTTGCATAAACTCTTGAGTAGATTCCAGCGAATCAGAGAGGAGTACAAGGCATGTTAATTCATTAGACTAGTTGGTCATTTCAGGATAATTGACACATTCCTTGTATTGTGTCCAACTAAAACGTATTTAATTATTATGTGTTTGTTCTTTAAGCTCATCCTTTCTAACTCTCCCTCCCACTGGGCAATGTTTCCTTCTTTTTTCCAAAAACACTGCTGCACATTCTTACATGACTTAAAGTTCTGGGATTTGTAGTTTTGAAATTGAACTATGAATCCCCAAAAATGCTGCTGTGTTCATAAAGCACATGCTTAAGGAATAAACTCCGAAATTCTATGGAAGTTTAAGTAACTGGTTTTGTTTTTGGCTTGCTAGGAGATCATTGAAGAAGCATTGGTTGTTTAGTTTATTGGTGCTGAATGAAAGTTAATAAAAATGTGTAGTGATGCATTTTAACAAGGAAAACAGTGGAAGTCTTATTTCATAAAAACCAATGAACATGATCGGTGTTCAAGGTAATGCCTTTTTAGAAAATAGAAATTTTGTCCCTGAGTGGTTCACTGGCTTTGCATCTTTTTTCCTAAGTTGTGTTTCAAAGCTGTTGTATGCAGCAGACACATACTCCAAAGGCGGCATCTTCACATCAGTTCCTGAGAGCAAGCACTTTTGAAACGCATCCAGAGCCACAGTGGAATGCACGCAGCCAAAATCCAGTATTATTCCAGCACGAGAAGGTCCTAATTCACTTCTGTCCGGCTGGCAAGAGTGATTTTAACATCTTTGGACCCCAAGTCTGCAATACCTGGTACTATTGCCATTTCTATTTGCTACTCTTTTTTGGGACTGTTTAACGTTAACGTTTTAGTCTTTTTTATATATTTATGTGCCTTTTGTCGACAGTTTATATGTACTAATACATTTTGAAATAGTACTCTGTCTGCTGCACTGTATAATAGACTTTACCATCAATATTTTAACCCTTTGTGGGATTCTATAATAATATTTTGTATATTGGTTTTGTACTCTATCAGTCCAGAAACCTATACTAGATTATTATTTCAGCAGCCTGTGGACTCTACCTACCTTATATGATAGGAGGTAATGATCTGACTAGCTGATACATCCATATTTAAAGAGAAAGTGAACATATTTTTATTTATTTGATGTGCTATGTGCATTTACATCTCCACTGAGTCCTGTATATATTATTGATTTATTTCAATAAGTATTCAACATTTTTATACCTTTAACCCCTGGTGGTGGTTATGTTTTACAAGCGATACAGTGGTTATGGTAGTCATATCCAATCTCGACATTTAACTCTAGAGGGACATTCTACCATTTTTTGGTGTTTATCCATCATTCAGTTGTGAATCTATTTACATACTCCAAGGAATCCATGTATTATTTGGAATTATGAGCACTATTAAAATGAGGCTTCTGTGGGAAAAGAAAGTCATGACTTGACTGGTGTGTGTATTTGTGTTTAAAATTGCATTAACTATATATATATTTTTTTAAATTCTTTATTTTTGTAGTGCATTCAGTTAATACAGTCACGTAAAGTAAAGTGGGGAACATTGTTTAAACAGGTTTGTGGAATATAGAGGTACGGCACACATTTTTTAAAACAGATAAGTAAATAAGGTTTTCTCTTGGACTTCATAAAAACAAAAGGCAACTTTTCTTGGCTAACAGATAAGCTTTGTTCAGTAGGCACAATAAAAGTAAAGCAGGCTAGGACATGGAATTACATAACTGAGCTAAACACTTCTATCACAGTGTCTGACTATGCATGGTTATACCGTTAATATAATTTTAAATGTGCTGCGCTGGGTGAAAATGCAATAAGAGTAAAAGAGGTAACCAGGGAGTACAGGCTAGTTCATCACATCTAAGCTGTGGAACACGTTTTGGTAACTCAGAGAGGCTGGGTAGGCATGAAGATTAAATAACAATAAAATGTCGCTTAACGGATAGGTTCAACATCTATTCACATGAGCTGGCCAGGGTTATGCAGCACTGTCTGAGTATGCTAGGCAGATTGGTGGTGTATCTACTATGTGTACACAGGCTATAACAATTATTTAACACACACATGCACATATCCTAGGGTGGTGGTGCATATTGTTGTTTAAGTGGAGTTATGGCATTCGCTTATTGTGTGTAATCTATGCTTAGTGGCAGGTAATGCAACTGAGATGCAGCAGTCTATGAAGTAATGGGGATTGAGTCCAGAAGTAATTAGTCCATGACTGAGCTGTGATTACCGCAGACCTTGCCTGTTTACTGAGTGTCCAGTGGGATATTAAGCCAATTCTTCTCGATGGGAGGCCTCTGCAGCTTAACCGCCGGAGTCCAGCTATCGTTATGCTTGGGACCCTCCGGTTCCAGGTATCTCGTGCCGTGTCCGCTCCCCCACTCCGTCGATTGTCGGCTAGTAGAGGGCGGGTAAGTGCTGCAGTTACTAAGGTCCGCTGGTCCCTCTGCGTCTTTGTCTACATCCCATGTGCTGTAGGATGATGTGCTTTTCGTGGATGACCTTTTGGTCTCGGTCGGTTGCTGGGTGTAAGTAGGGTTTGCCGTGCTTTGTTTCTCCTCCGACGTGTTTGATATCTTTTCGTGGGGCATCTTGTGAGCGGGAGGCTCTTCCCACTGAGGCGCCATTTTGGGGCATTGGCAGGTGGAGCAGTGGCTCGCTTGCTGCGGGGTTGCTTAGGTTGGTCCCTCCGTGGCCTAGCATTTTCATTGACCTGCTAAGCCCGGCTCTCTAGCTTCGCCCAAAAGGCTTCAAAGATGGTGTTCAGCCTGGCTGAATAGTCCAGCACTTCGGTGTCACACTTCACTGCATGCGTAGCGTCCGCCATTGCGCTGTTCAGGGTGTCGGGGTGTCGTTCCAGCGGGTGTGTAGTGTGGGTCTGCCCATGCCCGGTTGCTTTAGGGTGGTGGACTGGGATAACCCCCGCCAGTCCTGGGGGGAGGGTTAGGCTGCCATACACTGCTGCCCCGGCTCTGGGTTGGAGAGAGCGGCTGTCTCTCTCCGCCGCCATCTCCCGTAGGCCGCAAAGTGCCTTCCCGGTTGTTTAAATCACTTGTGTCTGGTGTCAGACTGATCGCCAGGGTGCCCCCTCCTCGAATATTGTGCCCTGGCATAGTTTCAGGGTTCGATTAGGGTCTTAGTGCTTATTTTACAGCATGTGTGGCAGGAGTACTCTTAGTGTGCGACCATTCAGGTTGCTGGTCAGGCGCCACCCCCCATAAATTATATATTTTAATATGTAATTATTATTTATTTTATTATGACATGAAACCTAGTTGGATACAGCCAAATTAGGAACACTGAGTACAGGGGGGTAACCCCTAATAAAAATGAACAATAAACTTAAGAATAGTGTTCCTGCAACTGGGAGAAAACAGCGTGTGTCTATACTACATAATAAACATAAGAGACACAAGTAAAAAGACCAAATGGTCAAAAAACAAAAAAAAATAATTTATTATATAGCAAATGATGTCATAAAATCATAATAACCCATAGAGTGCTAAATCAAAAAAGTACAAAGTGAAAAAATGGAATATATGTATCAATAAAAACAAAAAGATACAGTACTAATATTACTTGGAATACATGTATCTGTAGAATGATATATAATTCGATGAATATATCAAAAAGATATGATAGAGTGGTATAATAAACTCTAATATCTTAAATGGTATGAGGATAATAGGCAACAGCACACGTCTGCGCTGCTTTGGGAAGACATTGGCTGAAAATAGCCGTAATAGTGTGTGTGTGTGTGTGTGGGGGGGGGGGTAATGGGGTGATGGAGGATAATCTTCATGCAAAAGGTATACTGAACAAATGATTCAAAAACGGTATCTATGATTATCAGAATAGAGACCGCAGGACCTTAACGTGATAAAGGTTAAAGTAAAAGATAATAGGTATAATAACGCAGTCCCATCTATACAACCGTAGAATCTGCAAACGTATAAATGCTGTTTACTGTTAGACGTACACATGTAAAAGAGTTATGATAGTAGCAGCTCTAAAATAGAAGATCTAAGTAGCGTGCTGTGCTACTGATAGAAAGCACTACTGAGACAAATACTGTAGAGAATGCTAGATTGGTAATAGTGGTGATACTAAATCTATGCCACCATTGGTGTGTGATCTAATAACGTGCTATAATTCTGATAAGAAGCATTCTAATAGTAAGAGACATCGAGCTGATAAATTGTCTCTGTGCCTGCAAGGGTACTAAAGTATAGACTGGCGAGTGCTAAGAAAATTGATAATACCAGAAGTTAGAGAAAATGCTAAAGTGACTCAATACACTGCCACTACCAGTACATCCCCCATGCCTACGAGGGCACCTAAATCTAGCCCTGTAAAATTAAGGACTGAGTAAGGGGAGTGTAATAGTAAGAGACACCTCGCTGGCAAATTGTCTCTGTGCCTGCAAGGGTACTAAAGTATAGTCTGGCGAGTGCTAAAAAAAATAGATAATAGCAGAAGTAAAGAAAATGCTAAAGTAACTGGAAGCACTTATACTACCAATACAACCCCCGTGCCTTTGAGGGCACCTATGTCTAACCCTGCTAAATTATGAACTGGGTAAAGAAAAAACGATTAGAGTTGCTGTCAACATCTTAATAAAAGGATGGCATATGTAAAGCCCCTGACGCGCGCGTTTCGCCCACCAAGCTCGTCAGAGGGGAGATTATTATGACATGAGCTTCATGATCCATTTTAATTTTTTCTAATTATTGGCCATTATGTCTGATAAATATATTTATTGTTATTTTTCCATGTTCTCAGTACTGTTTTAAGGAACATTCTCGTTTCCTATGTTTTGTTCTTAATGGTATTTCATATTTATCTGCTGTGCTACATCAATAAAATTAGCTGGGAAATTGCTACAAGAAAAATAAAATTAGTGTCGAGCACTGCATATAATTAATCTAAAGATAACAGATTGTTACCTCCTATTCAATTTTCTTTATGAAAGAGAAGATTTTGCTTTATTTACCCCCCTGGACCTTCACTGCAAATCATTATAACATTCAATAAGTTACATTTGCAAAAATGTTAATTTTATTTGTTTCAAAGAATATTGTAGTTCTACAGTTTTTTACTTATCTTTAGTCATCACAAAACAGTCAAGATTAGGTATAAAATAGCTGATTCTGCAAGGTGAATAAATGTTAAATTGAATATACTCTTTTTTTACTCAATTTTGTTTTTGACATAAGTAGGTCATTTCTATAATTTCTATAATGGGGGGCAGGGAGAGAGTATGAGTGTAGTTTATATTTCCAATTTGCAATAGAATGATAAATTAATTCAACACTTAATTACAAATTCAGATAGAATGTCACAGACTAACTTTAATTCAATAAAAAATATACCTGGAATAAAGAAACAGATATACTGACAAATAATCTATATAAAGAAATTAGAGAACAGTATCCGTTTAGGCAGAAATTAATTAAATTGAGAGTGTAAAATGGAAATGTCAAAATTCAAGCCAAAATATCTGAGCTGCAAAACATTACCATTTTTTTTCAGTTCTGCCACTTTTGCCTAAAATTTCTCCACAATTAATTTTATTGAATACACACCCCTACGGTAGATATTAGACTTGTGACAAGAATTCATCCCAATTCTGGGGATCAGAGGTTCTTCTGAATTCCGTAACTCCAAAATGCTATATGGACGTATCATAAAACAAACAAAATGGGCAACAAATGGACAATTTTGTTTGTTCCATGATTTAGACTTCCAACTTCTGTCACCAAAAAAATAAAAAATGTGATTGATAGGAAAAAAGATTTTATTCACAGATCAAGTGAGAAGTACCTTCTACTGGGTACTTCTCAGTTGATCTGTGAATAAAATCTTTTTTTCCTATGAATCACCTTTTTTTTTGGTGCCAGAAGTTGGAAGTCCAAATCATGAAACAAACAAAATTGTCCATTTGTTGGCCATTTTGTTTGTTTTATGATACAGAAATCTATATTTAAATACATTTTTAAAAACTAAATGTAATTTTTTTTTACTGCTCCCCCTTTCTCCCCTCTAGTGGTTACTTCTTCTAATTTTTTAATTGTAAACCACAAAAATGCACCTATAAGTGTATCACAACATAAAACCTCAAATATTTATATTAGGTATATAGTTTGATTAGCCAATTTTTGGGCTCTTTTGGTTTATCCAAATTGTTTTTACTGATGCATGGATGAAATTTGTCCGAGCCGAAACACCACATGGATGATACTTGAATCAACCAAACAGAATTTTTTTCACCATGAACAAGTCTTCTAGACGTTTCAGCTAGTTCAAACAAATCAAATTCCTTTTTTATTTATTTTTTGACAATTTTTATTGGTTTATCAGATGAGATCAACATACAACATGATTTTCAACGCTGACATTGCCATGTATAAACATATATTTGATACTGGTGCAAGAATATGTCATATGGATCAAAGAGCGCTTAGTTATCTTCACATTACATGAAGCAAGGTGACTTCACTAAACAACAGAATGTGAGAAAGAAAGAAAGAAAGATCAGAAAGTAGGAGCATACAGTTGTCCCAAGGAGGGGACTGGGAAAGTAGCGGAATAGAGCAGTAAAGCAAGAGGGATCAGGAGAGAAGATGGAGTAGAGGGGGTGAGGTTAAGTGGGTAAGGCGCGAATCTCAGGGGTCCCTTCCGTCTGCCTCCGTGTCATCCCTGTTTCATCTGTAAACTGTATTATCCCAGTGTCAGCCATTGCGACCTTGTATAGGGTTAAGTCTCTTAGCGATTGGATGAGTTTATTTGTTGTTGTTTTTTTCTTTTTATTATCCGCTTTATGGGTTTGTTTGTGTCCCGTTCTTAACAAACTAATCCCATATCTCTTTGGCCTTCCCAAGCACGCGTTTATGTCCAAATTGGTGTTGGTGCATGGTTTCATACGTCCTGGTGAGTGTGATTTGGTGTATTAAATGGGTGAAATCTGGAGGGATGGTGGATTTCCACTATCTAGCTACCAGAAGGTTCGCTGAGACTAGCGTATGGTAAAGAAGCGCTAGGTGGGTTTTGGGCAGTCTGTCGGGCAGAATGAATAGTAAATATATCTCGGGCCTATAGGCCACTTGGGCATGTGTTACATCTGTTATGAGGCTAGTCACTTTGTTCCAGAAAGGTCTGATCATGGGACATGTCCACCAAATGTGGATCATTGAACTCACTGCCTTGTCACACCTCCAGCATGTGCTGGGAGAGTTTGGCCAGATCTTATGTATCCTCTCCGGTACCAAGTACCAGCAGTATAGAATTTTCCTTTTAATTTCCAGGTGTTAAGCGCAGAATGTGAGGCCTTTGTGTATTGTAAACCCACTCTTCCATTGTGAAGCACTGATCACAAACCCTACTTCTCTATTACATGACTGCTTGTGAGGGATTGTGAGATTAATGGCTTGTAGATGTGTTGCCATTGGTATGTCGGGGCTAGTCAATGACTTCGGCACCCCGTTCCATGTGTTCATAAGCAATCATTCGTCTCTGTCTACGGTCTATTCAAAATATTAGGTGGGTGAGGTGAGTTTTAGCCAATACGCTTCAATTCCGGAGGATTGTGGACATGGCGTTTGCCATGCAGGTCGAGTATCATACTCAACAACGCTGCTTTGTGGTACTGATGTAGATACAGTATCTACAGCCCACCCCCCCACCCCCCTTCAGTCACCGGTCTATGCAGGATTTTTGTGGAAACTAACTTTTTTGATTTGCCATATAAATGTCAGAAATAATCTTGAAAGCGACTTTAACCCCTTAAGGACCAAACTTCTGGAATAAAAGGGAATCATGACATGTCACACATGTCATGTGTCCTTAAGGGGTTAAGTAAGTGGCCGGCAGGTCTATCTGGAATGTCTTGCGTAAGTAGAGGAGTTTGAGTAACAGCGACATTTTAACAGCAGCTAAGCATAGTAGGTGCAGAGAGATAAATGGACCATATAGTTAATGTCAGCACGCAATATTTATTAAAAACCAAATAAG